TGTGGTACTGCAGGGTTGCTTGCAGGTTGTTCCTTCACCGAAATGATCAGATGATCATAGCCCGGTAGGTAAGTGTGATCGCCTGCTTTGACGAATTGCGCTAGATACGTTGTCTGGAGTTGACAAATTGCACCATGTTGTGTGCAGTGTGGTCTCTAGAAACCTATTATCGTAGTACAAACTTCATGTAAAAGATTGTGGCGTGCTTCACACGTAGGCATGAAACTAACTGTGCATTAATCTACAGACTCATTGCAACGCGTATAGTTTTGTTTTGTTAGCTACCGTCTGAACTCTGAAGCAAGCCCGGCCGGGTCCTTTAGCTTACGGATCAATTCAGCATCTTGCATGTGGACGATGGACGTATGTAGCACTGTATTGGAAGTATGTGTCGACGGCGACGAGCAGCGGAAAATGGCGTAGGAGGGAAATGATTCCTCGGTTGTTGTTGTTGTTGTTGTTGTTGTTGTGTGTGTGTGTGTGTGTGTGTGTGAGAGAGAGAGAGAGAGAGAGAGAGAGAGGCATTGGTGCCAAATTGCGTAGAAGAGGAGGAAGAAGAAGAAGGGTGCCAAATTGCCGATCCCCATCGGCTGGTTGGTTCACCTACACCCATTATCCACCCACATTTCCCTGTAGCCGTGGGCTTCAACGTTACTCTGCACACATAACAATCAGTAGGCCTCGACGCCCGCCGCGGCCCATCACGGCGGTCCAGAGAGAAGACCCACTGCAGATATTCATCCTTTTCTGATTGTCATCTTGTGATTGTCCTGCCGTTCATGATGGTCCGTTTGCTTTGGTTAGTTGTTCAGTGATAAGACGTACTGTTTGCGTCAATTGCTTGTGTCTCACTGGCATACAAAAGCAGTCTTGGCACTGCATGAGTTTCTTGTTGACGAAACGATGGCTTTGCAACTGTTCGTCGAAAACCATGTTTCATGGAGATTTCTGAGTTAGCGCGTTTCATAGTGGCCACATATATTTGATAAAGGGTCACCACAAATAGATGGTAGGAGGTTAAAAGAAAGAGGAAAGTAACAGAGTTTCCATCACACATTTGGTTGGAGTTGGACAACCAGTTCCATTCTCAGTCAAGGGAAAGAGACCGAATTTTTTCTCCCGAACCATGCAGGAGAGATGCATTGTATCCATTAATAGATTAGAGAGAGGAGCACAACACCGAAGTTGTCACCGCCGATACAAGAGACAACACTAAAAGGGCCATATGTAAAATACCACATTGAGTCGAGCCATCAACGAACCGCTTGGCATGGGTGGTTCTCTATCTCAAAAAAGAGAGAGAGAGAGTCGAGCCATCAACGCAACCTGCTTTGGTTGTTAGTCGAATGACAACCAAGGTTTTGGATCCCAAGGGGACAATTTTTCTCGAGGGGCACCAGAATTTGTGGTTACCATGGTAACCGCGAAATACCGGACAAAATTCGGACGAAATTTGAAATTAAATTTTGAATTCAAATTTTATAGATATAGATAGTACTTTAACCTCCAAAGTTATCATGTATCTGCTCTTGGCGTAGTGGCTGTTCGAGCAGAACTGCCCCTTGGTAAACGGTCGCGAGTTCGACCCCTGGCCACTGTTAGCTTTTTTTAACTTTTGCATATCAAAAAGAAATTTAAAAGCGTGTGTCAAGATTCGAACCCGCGACGCGCTGAGGAAAGGCTGGCGTTGCCACTAGGCCACGACCACTAACGTTAGAGTACAAGAGATGGCCTGTATTTAACTATACGCTGAGCGTTTGAATTCAAAATTTTCAAAACTTTCGAGATTTTTTGCCCGGTACGAGTGTTTCTCGAGGGGGGCGATAAACGTGGTAACCGGGCGAGATAGCGAAATTTCGTTCGGTTACCAAAACAGTGGTGACAACACGGTTCGTGCTGGTGCACGAGTTGCTTTTGTTGTCGTAATCGTGTAAGAAAGAAAGCAGTCTTGCTGCGTCCCATGAGTGTCTTGCTGACGAGACGACACGATGGTTTCGGTTCGCAACTGTTCGTCGAAAACCATGTTTCATGATGGTGGAGTGGAGTCACGGCTGGTTCAGTCAGTTAGCACCTTTCGATCGACGAGGCCACGTACATACTTGATGAATGGTCACTGGGACAAGAGACAAGTGTCCCTGTGCTACTTCTTCAGTGACCCAATCATACACCATCTTCCTTTGCAATGGCCATGGAATATCACTGATAGAGCAGCATCTTCAATAGAAGATTTATATGCAAAAATAACTATCTTTTGCATCTCTGAGGCTCAAAAACACCTCTCTAACAGATGATGTAGACGCAAAAAAAAATTACATCTCCACCTCGCGGTGCAAATTTGCATCTCTGCCGACTGAAGATGTAAAAAGAGCAGCCGCGCGCCAACCGCCTTCCGTTCCCTTCCACGCGATCGCCGGCCGCCCGCCCAACTCCACGGTCGGTCGAATCCGCACAAAATCGACACCGCCGCCCGACGGCCGCCGGGCCCGCCGCGACTTCGCCCCCCTGTCCCCTGCTGCCTGCCTTGCCGGCCCGCCTCCCGCAGACATCGATTCACTTTCGGCTGCCGCCGAATCGAACCATCTATGGCGGTCCAGATGGCCTAAATGCCTTCCACGGCAGGGTCGTGGATGGGCTAGGCTTCTTCCTAGCCAAGACACCCCCCCCTTCCCTGCCGAAGGTAGGGGAGGCGCGCCACATCGCCCGCCCGACTGCCGCCCACCTCAGTCGTTCTTCCGGCCACGCGAAATCGGCCAGCCGCAGCGCCGAGCTCCCGCCTTCTTCTCTGTCGAGCCATCGCCACCGCCGCCAAACGGCTGCCCGACCCACAACCGGCCCATTTCGTCCACCCCGCAAGCAAGGTGTTCGATGAAATTCCCCAAGGTAAAGAAACGATGAAACTTCACAGGTTTTTTATTGGGGTTGGACAGTTAGTTTGACGGTGATTTTCCGCATTGTAGATGAGCTCGTGTGACTCCTCTTTCATGGATGATTCCTCATCGAATGAGGAATTTGATTTGAACAAAGAAGAGGACATTGCTATGCTAGTGGCGATGCACAAAGGGAAGAAGCCGAAGCACAGCGGTTCCATGTATGGTTGTGCGTTCATTCGGAGAGAATGGATTGAGGCGCACAAGAGGTTGATGCGCAACTATTTTGCTTCACCACCCGATTTTTCGGAGAGGTACTTCCTACGCCGGTTCAGAATGTCCAAAGACTTGTTCATCCACATTTACAATTCTGTGAAGCGGCATGATCGATCCTTCGAGCAGAGGAGGAATTGTGCAGGGTTGCTTGGACATAGCACCGAACAGAAGGTCACTGGCGCTTTGCGCATGATGGCCTACGGTGTTCCGGCAGACTACATTGATGACAACTTGGCGATGGCAGAGAGCACTTCTATTTTCTATGTGAAACAATTTGCAAAGACTATGGTAGAAGTGTTTGGTGCAAAGTACTTGAGAGCACCCAATGCTCAGGACACTCAGTGGTTGTTGGAGATGAACAAAGCTCGTGAGTTTTCATGTAGGGTCCTTCGATTGCATATGCATTGGAAATGGAGAAATTGCCCAATAGCATTGCATGGACAGTTCAAGGGTCGTGGGAAAGATACCACTATCATTCTTGAGGTTGTTGCCGATCAAGAAACATGGTTTTGGCATTCATATTATGGGATACCTGGATCTTGCAATGACATCAACATGCTCCGGTTCTTCAAAAAACATCAACGTGCTCGACCGGTCACCTCTTTTTGCCAAGTTAGCAAATGGGGAAGCACCATCGGTGACCTTTGAAGCAAATTGCCGCATATACAACTATGTTATATGTGTGTTGCAGTTGATCTTGTGGATTTGATGAATTATATAATAATTTGATATTGTTGACATGCGGAACTTTTAAGTTGTGTTTTATTTCAATTTGTACGGGTGTACAGCAGCTGAACAACATCCGCGTGGCCGCGACTGGTTTTACATCTCTAGTTTGCATCTTCTATTAAAGTTGCTCTTGTACATCTCCATTTTGCATCATCTATTGGAGTTTGCCCCCTTTTTATATGCAAAAGGCATTTTTTGAAGATGTAATTTTTTACATATTTCTGTTTTACATCTCCAAATTTACATCTTATGCTCTTAGTTGTGCACTGTGCTGATGTGCTCCAACTTGCGACTACACCAGGTGGAGAACCTCAGAATAGATAGGTACTGGTGTTTTTTTTTTGACGGGCAGGGGAGGGGACCTTAGCTGCTGCTAACCGGATAACCCCATCTTTTATTTGCCTCTTCATTCAAGAGCGAGAGGCTGTCATGCACTGTCCGATCGCGACGTCCAACCAAAACCAATCACTCTCACATTCACGGACACAACAGTGACTGCCACCGCTAGGCTGTACTTGAAAAAATCGGATGATCAACATGTGGATTTTCACCCAGACAGATAATTTTAACCCACTGCATCCATCGGAGGACATGGCCAAATTCTGAATTCCTCCACAGGCCTTGACACAGGCCAGCGAGGTCCAGTTCTGAATTTCATGATGTTCTGAATAGAGCTACAGCTTGTATATCATCAGTCAAGCGCATAATCGACACGCCAACAGATTTCTCAGTTGCTAAAACAAGAGGAATTTCCCGCTAAACAACATAACGAATGAAATCAAAAGGGCTTCATGAGTGAGTAAATGTTAAGGAACAGTTTGGTTCGCAGGGCAGTTCCAATGGGGAACATAAACTGGAGGAGGGAGTGTGGCTGGCTGTATAGCCCATGCTTCTCTGACATGAACATCTCCCGCCTTCGCTCCTACAACAATAGATATGCGCCGCTTCCAGCGCGGGAGAGGGGATCGGATCCGCGCTAGCCAGCCAGTCAATCATCCCCTGCCGTGCAATCTCTAAAATGGTGCTGGCTTCGGCGGCAGATGGACAGAAGGAGGTCGTGTGGGAATTGAACGGTGCTGATGACGATCAGCACTTGCCGCAATAACTTACAAGCTCGATTTCGTCGAGTCACCGGATGTAGCTCCTAACAAATGATGTCGCTCCAATGCTACTTAAGCTGTCAGAACTCTGTATATAATAGGAAAAAGGAAAGCAGTTAGAGGAACGCCGCCTGAAGTGGAGTTATATAGACAGGAAAACCATATTTTCAAACATCAAGCAAGTACCTGGGACTTGGGAGACGGAAACACGTTCCAAAACCGGAGCGTCTCGTCACCAGCACCAGTAACAATTGTCTGTTGATGTCGATATTGACAAGAAAAAAGAACAGTGAGAACAAATTACACTAGACACCTCTAACAGAAGAACAGAACTAAAACAAAATGTCAGGTCCATAGCATATATAGGGATCAAAGAGGGAGTATTTCACCTGTCCATCAGGGGAGATGGCTAAATATAATACTCTGAATGTATGTCCTGTCAACGTGGCAAGCTATACAAATAGAGAGAATGGACACAATTAATAACAAACGAGAGACAGTATGGTATAAATGAGCTACAGTGTAAGCTTGTGGCATACCTTTGACATCGTTGGATACCGCCACACTATTATCTGATTCTGGGAGTATCCGTGTGTGCTAACAAGCTCATTCACATTCTTTGACCACACAAGATTACAGACCTGTTAAGACATTTAGCATAATCAGTACATGTGAAGAGCAGCATGTTTTTAAATCTACCCCTTCCACAATTCTACATAAGCAATCCCATGCCTTCAGAACACATGATATCTGTGCAGGTCTCTAACATGACAACTACAAGAATCAATTTTATCTACAGCTACAAAAACATAGCAATTAAAATGTCCATAGACTGTTTCCAAAAGGAATCCATGATGCCATTTTGATATAAATTTGGTGTTTTCTAGAAGGATGGGACTATAAGGACTTCGGTTGCATTATATTAGAGCTGTATAGGTGATCCAAAACTTCAGTTTTTGTACAACAGAGCTCAGCCAGTCTTGATCTTTTCTGATTTTTGCAGGAAAACTAGTGAATTGGTATGACTGAAGTATTCAGTCAGTAACGGTGCTAAAAGGTTCTGAGAGTTATCCGGCTTAAGAGTAGATATGATTATACTTGAAATTTGGAAGTGCAAATAAGAAATCAATTTAATTCAAAAACACAAACAAGGGCTGCATGTAGCTGATAGATAAACTAGATAGCTAGATTATTACCTGACTCCCTGTATCCATGGAACTCAAGTGTGTATTTGTGGTCGTATTCCAAAATCTTATGCACCTATCTGCAGTTCCACCACCAGATGCAAGAAGGCCGTGTAGATGAGGTGACCAGGCAATAGCTTTCACAGCTGCTGTGTGCTCAGTATACTTCAGCACTGGCTGTACTGAATGTTGATTCCAAACAAAAAGCTGGTAAAAGAAAGAAAAAAATAGCATGAGCAAAAGAAGACCAGATCCTGAACATCATATGCCATGCACTTTACTGTGATGGAAACTTATGGATATGAATCTTACTTTGTTGTCGTTTCCACCAGATGCAAGCTGACGGTTATCATAAGACCACTTGAGCCCACAGACCTGAGAAGTTCAGAAATTCGTAAGTAAATTATAAATTATTTGGAATTGCAAAATGGAGGGCCAATATGGTGATCCAAACGTTGGACAGACTAGTAAAAGATTGTAATGATGTACATAACATGCCATATTATATGAATAGTCAGGGGAATATTACCTCAGATTTATGCCCGGTGAGTTTGCTAACATAGTCCTCCGGAGCACGGAGATCATGATGAAGGATGTTCTTGTCACGACTGCCAGAAGAAAGCAATGAAGAGTTCCATGCAAGAGCACCTACTCGCATGCGATGGCTTTCCATGGTTCTCATTCTTTTACAGCGTGTTGCATCCCATATCTAAATAAGATAACATCGAAGATGATAATCAGGAATTCAGAATTTAGACACCCTTGGAATGTCAAATTGTTATACCAATACCAAACATCAACAGGATTACTAAGTTTTACCAACCGAAATACTATGGGCTAAAAGTACACATCGATAAAGATGATGTTTACATTAGTTCAGGTTATTTACAAAACTTTATCGTTTCCCTCATCCATTGGTGGTATGTGCGCAGCACTGACTTGACGCATTGGTCATGATTTTTTTTAGAAGAAATGGGTATAACCAGGAAAAAATAGTATCATCAACTAAGTAACCCCTGATGAAAGTACCACAATGCAAGGCCTGCTGGTGAGCTGTGGTAGTATTGCAAAATTCTGAAACTCTCACAATCTTACTTTGATGTCGTTACCACAATGCAAGGCTTACTACTGTATTATTTTGTGTCTGAATTGAAGCTTTCGGCAAAAGTAAATTAAAGTGTCATCCTAAACTTTGACAGATCCTGAACATGTCATTTGATCAATTTCAGATGGGAGCAAGATGAAAACCTGGACGGTGCCTTGGTTAGTCCCTACAGCCAGGTGGGTGCCACGCTGCGCCCAACTCACGGAACAAACGGTGTCGTCCGCCCCCAAATCGCAGAGCTTGGTGACCTGCGGAGTGATAAACTTGTTTACTAGGATCTCTCTCTTCAATTCTCAGAAAAGAAATCGTGCGAGGATGACATTGATACCTTGCTGCTGCATGCATTCCACAGGTAGACGCAATTCCCCAATCCGACCGAGAGGACATTGTGCGAAGACCAATCCACGAGGTTGAGGTAGAAGTCGTCCTGCAATGCGGGCGCATCCAGCACCTGGCAGAAGCAGCAGGCAGGAGAATCACATTCCCGTGAGATTCTCTCTTTGTACAGGAAAATCATGAGGAAAGATGGAATCTTTGGCGACGAAAGAAGAAGATAAAGAGGAATTCCCCACACCAAGAAAGCAAATCAAGAAGAAACCATGAAATCGGAAGTAATCGACCAACCTTGTAGGGCGACCTGGGGATCTTCCTGGGGCCGGAGCCCTTGGGGGTGAAGATGCCGGGGAAGAGCAGGTCCTGGTCGTCCCCGCCGGCGAAGAGCGCCCGCTTGGCGTTCCTCGGCACCTCGGCCTTGAAGCGGAATATGTTGCCGCCGGCGGGGGAGCCGACGGGGGAGGCCGCGGAGGAGGAGGAGGCCCCGGCGGAGGAGGCGAGGCGGTCGGGCGTGTCGGGCCCGAAGAGCGCCGCGCGGAGGAGCGCGCAGTAGGGTGAGGGGGGAGCGGCAGATCCGGAGGCGGAGGAGGAGGGGGCCGGGGCGAGGTCGAAGAGCGCGAGGTTGGATCCGGTGCGGCTGGGGATGAAGCGGTCGCTGTAGACGGTGCGGGAGGCCGGCGTGGCGGGTGCCGCGGACGAGGCGGAGGAGGACGCCGGCCCGCGCGCCGGGGCGCCCTCGGTGGAGGAGGGCGGCCAGGAGGGCGCCGAGCCAGAGCCGTGGCGCGAGGCGGGCGTGCTCGACGGCGTCGGCGGCTTCGAGTTGGCGTCCGCCGGCGACGGCGGCTGCCCCTGCTGGTGGTGGTGGTCCATGGTGAGGCGAATTGGGGATCGGGGGGAGGATGGGGGTGGGTTCTCGCGCCGCTTGGGGTTGGGGTTGCTGTTGATGGCGTCGTTCCTCTCGCTCGCGCGCTTTCTCTCTCCTCCTGCCTCTCTCACGCTCACGGGGTGCTATTTTTGGGCTGCTTTATTTATTTATTTATTACTCTGGCTGGCTGGCTGGCGTTGTTTACTCGGTTTCGTACTGCTACGGTCGCTGCGCCGTGGGCCACCACCCGGCAAATTTTGTTCTATAGTAGACGGGCAGATATCATCATATCACAACCGTTTTTGTTCTTTTTTTTTTTGAGGAGCACCGTTTTTGTTCTTTTCTGCTGGGAAAAAACGTTTTTTGTTTGGTTTGGTGGCGGCTCTTTTTTGGCAGAAAGAAAAACCGCCCGGTCCGGTCCGGGTGGGAAACGGCGTGGAGCCAAGTGGCGCAAATACGACGCCTTGTTCCGGTCGAAGAAGGGCAAACCCAACGGACGCTGTGTTTTTTTGTCTCTGATGTATTTTTTTTAGCATCAGTACAAACATAAGCGTTTATACACACGCGCATACACTCATCCTTATGAACGCATACACGCATATCTTACTCCTATGAACACATCCGAAAGACTCAGCCGGCATATCATCTTGAAATTTACGTCTCTATAACCATCCAACCATACATTGGTTCGTGTCTCCAACGTACTATTATTGTAATAGTATTACTATTATTATCTAAACGACCGGAGATTCTACAAAGTACTCCTTTTGTTCCTAAATATAAGTCTTTTTAGACATTTCAAATGGACTACAACATATTGATGTATGTAAACATATTTTTGAAATATAGATTCATTCATTTTGCTCTGTATATAGTTACTTGTTGGAATCTCTAAAAAAGACTTATATTTGGGAACAGAGGAAGTATATACAAGATCTGAATGCGTGGAGGCTAATACAGTACTCCCTCCGTTCGGAAATACTTGTCTTAGAAATGGTTGTATCTAAAACAAATGTAGATACAACCATTTCTAGAACAAGTATTTCTGAACGGAGGGAGTACATTATACGTACGTACAGGCACGCCCATTCGTCCATGCTGCTACACGATGATGTCCGTCGCTCCGCTCCCATGTTGGGGCAGCAGGCTCGGCGTGAGGATGGGCGATCCTGCCGTCCGATCTGGATCCGTTCCAAAATTAGCTCCTCATCATTCGTCCGTTCAGTCAATCGAGCGGTTCACAGAGCTAGCTACCAGGGGAACATGCCATGGCGTGACAACGCGGCGTGTCCTGCACGCACTTAATTGCTCGTGCTGCCGTAGCAGCGTGGTGACGGTTAAAAGATGGAGGGAGAGATTTGCATCTGGCTTCCTTCGCACGGTTCCTTTGTTCGATTTGGTTTCAGCGGTACAGTGTGGATCCCGACACTCTATTGTTAGTTGATACTAATAATAATCCGAGGCGCAGAATGTTAAATCATTCGACCCCGTATGTGATGAATGAGATGTTTTTACACCCTCATAATTACTGTCGATGCATGCAAATTTTGGCTCTGAAGCTCTTGTTCTTTTTTCTTATTTCTCGAAACGGAAGCTTTGTTCTTTGATGATGACACCGTGAGCTGCCGGTGGCGCCAACTGGAGCACGATCATCTGACGACAGGGCACATTTATGTTGGACATTAGGTTCAGGCGGCCCAACGACACGCTGACGCCGAGCACAGTCAGCTCGGGTTCAGGTTCAGGTGCGTTGCCGACGAAACACGATGCGATTTCATCCCCGGTGATTGCGAACGGCATGACCGGACTATAGCGTTTGTTTATACATAGTTTGGATTGCTTACCACATGTGTCACGTGATAACCAGACTATAGCGTTGACATTCAGCCTACAGTGGCACTTTTACCTTCCTGGGAATGGGGATGAAGCCCAAATACTGGGATCACACACGCCCGGTGCAGGTCCGGGGCACACGTACGTGATACGTGTGCCGTAGAATCATAGCAAAGTAGGCCTTCTATATTTAGCATAAAAAAAAACAGGCCTCGCATTGGCGTTGGCCGGGACCCGAGACGTGATGAGTCCGAGCTGGATTCATTGGTGGGGATCCGGACTACTGGTACACTCCACGGTTGTGTCGGACGAAATTACTATTCTGACCTTTTGAATGAACTTTGTCACAAAATGAACTCGACGTGTTTCTCAAAAAAAATGAACTAGTATTTCACGATCTAACCCTTTTAACAACGCCATAGTCCGCGGCGTTTTTGTTCAAAGAAGAAACGCCGAGATAGCTAGCGTTTCTGATCAAAAAAGAAACGCCGAGGTAGGTAGCGTTGCGGAGCAGGTAAGAAACGCCGAAGGCGTTGGCGTTTCTGGCTATCATAGAAACGCCAAAGAACCATGGCGTTGCTGCCCTTTTTCATGTGCATGTGGAACCTGGATGAACAACATAATTAATAAGGCTAATTAATTATGACCAAAGAGGGCAGCAACGTCATGGTCATTGGCGTTTCCATGATGGGCTGCAACGCCAGCGCCTTCGGTGTTTCTTACCTGGTCCGCAACGCTAGCTACCTCGGCGTTTCTTCTTTGGTCAGACACGCTAGCTACCGGCGTTTCTATATTGGACAGAAACGCCGCGGGCTATGGCGTTGCTAAAAGGGTCAGGTCGTGAAATACTATGACGTCGAGTTCATTTTATGACAAAGTCCGTCTAAAGGGTCAGAATAGTGATTTCGTCCCGGTTGTGTCAGTGGTACCCTAATTTTAATCACGAGGCATGAACAGAAACTCTGCACGCTCTTCACCCATGTTAGTCAGATCAATAAGTGAAACCCGTAAATATTCGTTACCGCATTATATTATTATTATTCGATGGGTGCTTGCATGCACCTTACCTGATCGACGACCAACGAAACCCGTATCTATCCGGTGACTATGAGCCCACGTAGTCCGGCCTGCATGTGCCCTGTCCCGGCCGA